CAACACAGAGGTGCTGGGACTGTTACTGACATTAAGGGAATGAACTTAGAAGGGCTCAGCTTGGAAGGTTTAGGAAGCCCCTCCCTCCCCATGGGCTGGAGAATATTGTAAGGGTTATGGGGCTCACCTGCTCAGTTATTTCATACTATGACTGACATCAATTTAAGTCTGGCAGCCAGGATGCTGGACAGGCGTCCAGAGTGCACTGGAAATGCTCTTAGCTCTGTCAGTGGCTGACAGAGGCAGGATACCTTTCTCTGCCCCCTCTCCCCACCATTTTGGTGTTTTAGCACAGTAAAACCACTTTGGCAAAGCTGAACTCTATGACATTACTAAATGCATTTGGAAACAGTTGAGAACAAAACATAAAACCCTGCTCTGTAAAGCACAAGATGTGCTAAGCAGCATCTTGACAGGATTATACTTGCTCCCATGGTTTCTAAAGACTTACTGCATTCTGTTTTTCAGCCCTGTTTTCTTCTTCCATGGCTATGCCTCCTTTTGAAGTGAGTTGTTGTGCTTGTCACCTTGGTACTGACTTGGTGATAAAAGAACAGATAAAGGCAATGACCCTGCCTGGATGTCTCAGGCGTGTGCAATAATCCATGGTGATGGTGAGCATGCCTGGAAGAAGCTCTTTCTCATTCTAGCATTCTCCACTCTAAGGATCTCTGGAGTTGTTTCTGTAAATTAGAAAGGTTAGAAAGCCCTTGAGGTCATGGTGCTGCACTGCCTTTGCTAGATGCACAGTAAAGTTAAAGAAAATAGCAGGTATATTAAACTTGGTAAATTGTCCAACCTGAGCTCACAGAGCTACTCTGCAAAGTGATGGAGTCTGTAGGAAGAAATGGGACTGTTTGCAGTGCTTTAAAACTCTCAGTCAAGCTTTAAAATGCTCTGTTCATCTTTTCTGAAGACTGAGTTTGATAGAATTGGAATCGAATGTCTGACAGGGATCAAAAGGGCTCCATCCACGTCTGCAAGATGCTGATCTAGTCAGTAGAATATGTATATATTAGGTTTATTTTTTTACCACCTTCCCTTTTTCTGTTTAAAAATACATAAATTTTGGAAGATATATTTTCTCAAATTCAAAAGCTCAGACCAATAAAGAAAGAGATCA